ATAGTAGTTGCCTGAGTAACTCGAACAAGTTTTGTTAGACTCACCCAAGTTTCAAAGATTGGCCAAATCTAAACGAGAGTTGACTAAGTCTACCCACATAACTTGGGTTAGGACGTAGCGAGTTCCGGCGAAGCCTAGGTTTCAAAAAACTAATCCATGCATGTGACCTACATGTTCATTAAAAAATGTGGGATAGATCTTCTTGCCTCGTGCTGCAAAAGAAATCTTACAAATTATTGTTAAGCATCACCAATAAGGATATCAAGAAAAGCACATCTCATTGGCATAATAGATTTTGTTCAAAAACCTACCTACAACGTTGAAGATTCTAGAAAGGAACAATCGACATCGTCATCAAGGTTCAAAAACGGATTCAGGCACCTAGGCAATTTGGGTGCCTGCCCGCCAAGGCGGTGGGAGCCCTCAACAATATAAACCCCCACCCCTGTCCCCCACCTCAAAAATAAAAAATAGGGGAGTTCTTAGGGCTGGTTTATAGTTATAAGGAGTTTTTAGGGCAATTTTAAAGCCCCAAACTCCTCGGGATCATGAAATAGACAAAAAAAAAATCAATAAAAGAATACGATATATGCTCAATTTCATCGTCCAAGTAATAAAAAATCAATAAATCACCAAAAAAATCAATCTATTAACTACAAACATGTAAATATATCGTAAAAGAAAAAAAAAATAAAAGAAAAAACACATGATTCATAACATAATGTGTTGTAGCAAAATAAAACCATGTGTTGTAGCAAAATAAAACCAAAACCCTCTTTCAAATATGATAATACTTAAAAAATATCAAAATCAAATCGGTGTCGGTGCAAACCTCGTCTATTGGGTCACCAAAAAGTTCTCAAAATCAACTATTAGAAGCTCCAAATCCACCCACGAACTATTGTCTTTGTTTTGGGAAGAAATGGGAAAAATATAAAATTTATTGATTTTTTGAAAATAACAAAATAGTGGGTTTTGAAGGTTTTTTCTCACCCTAAAGGCCACAGATTGTATATTGGGGGTTTAGAATACCCCCTTCCCCCCTTTTTAGGGGGGGAAAATTATGTATTTTACCCTCACTCGAGGGTTTTTTTCTGCCGCCCGAAAATTGTCACAGGGCGGCGCCTAGGCGGGCGCCTAGAAGCAAAACGCCTTATTCACCCGCCCAAATTGCGCCTAGGTGTTTTGAAAATTTCCTCCTGGGCAGTCGGGCGGCCGAATTTTCAAACTATGATCGTCATATGCCATTCAGACTCTTAATTCAAATTTAAAAGCTAATATGTGCTCATTTGCAACTCGAGGTTCTTCAGTAACTGTGCCCCTTAAAGTAAACCTCTGTGGATGAACAATTAATGGCAAAGCACCTTGTATTCTTCTTGATTTACCCCTACGAGTTATTCTATAGAGACTCCTCAACAGGCTCAAGGGTCTAGTATTTGTTACACCTTGTCTCATAGGAATAAGGTTGATAAAAGTGGAATTTCACCAAGCAATAATTCTTTCCTATTGACATTCTAAAATTCTTGGAAGAAGGCATTCTAGAAAAAGTCTGGTCCCAAATCCTCGTCTCTTCCTAAAATAAGATTTCTTTTTATTTTATGAGCTAACCTCATATACAACCTCCTGCGGTCCACACCACATAGTAGTAGTGTATGAAAATTCACTTGTCAAACTCAGGCACCCGCTCAAGTCCATTTGGATCAGGCAGGTACCGAGTTTTGATCTCGAAAAATATCATTCATAGGAACATGGGTGTCTTTGAAATACCCCATTGAGTCGCAAGTAGTGTTCGCAAAACCGGGCGATCTAATCGCTAACCACCCGGTTCCGGTTTTGGGCAGTTTTGGTTATCAACAGGTACTTTAAAAAATAAAAAATAAAAAAATGTATATAAATTCCCAAAAACAAGGAATTTGATTTGTAATGCATTTTTTTAATATTCTTTACATTATGGTAAAGATTAAACTTTGTTTTGGTTACTACTACTCATTTTATATTTTCCCATCTTTTTCAGAAAATTTTAAAAATACCCTTAGGCACAAATTGATTCATTAAGGTCCATTTTTTTCATTAATTTTCTAACTTCATTTGAATGTGTTTTGTTTTATTCATTCTTTATATGCTTTTCATATTTTAGTAGATTTTTTTTGCATCTTTTTTATTTTTTCAACACTTTTTTTTACCGCCCGGTTAGAGCGGTTGAATCGGTCGGTTAAATCGCTTCCTGGCCCGTGTCCGGTTAACCATTCTGATTCGATTTTGCGAACACTGGTCGCAAGTCAAATCCGAGTGTTAACCAAGTCCTATGAAAAATATCCAAGTTTCACACGATAATAATCAGCATGATAATTGGGGACTCAACAAGTTGAATCAACTCGAGACCCTGCTGAATCAGAATTTTCTAATCATTGCAATTCGCATGATGACCACCACCACCACCACATAGTGAAGGGTCACCCGTCCCATGCACTCTAGGTGGAAAACAAAAAAGTGCATGTGTTTATCTGCATGTCCATACGCACAGAAGGCGTCCAAGCACCCAGGTGGTCCAGGAAGGACAACAACTGTTAACTAATCAAGGTGAACTGCCTGAGCCCAGACAAGATAGAATCCCACCCATAGTTAATGGCATCTCCCAACTTAGGGGGCACTTGCACTCTGGAATCTCGTTACAAGAAAGGCATCTTCAAGGGATCTCAATTTTAAATTTTGGGATCTCGATCCCTAGTGTTAGATATTTGATCCTCAACTTAAAGACCAGGATAACAGCCAAACTCATGACACTCTCTATTTATAGCCAGAACATATATGCTCGTTAGGAGCGACCAAGAAGTTGGGATAAAGATCCCAAAAGGTTGGGAGCTCCCTAACATAGGCATTGTATGGACAGCACTCCCTACCATACGAATCCCCTAGGCTTTTACAATCCTCCACTCCTGATCCCCAAATCACTCCCTATCTATGATGGCACCACCCTGCCTCTAGGTGGCCCATCCTTTGATAATACTGATATCACACAACATGGGTCTCTCTCTCTCTCTTCTACAAAATTTTGAAGTCCATAAGTACCACACTCATCTCATCCCTATCTAATCCAATGATCAGTAATTATGCCTTTTGGTCATCTCAGACCATATCTAAGAGTCATTGTAGTTTAATTTTTCAATCTATCAAAATATATAAAAATAAAACAAAATAATATGGCATTTGGAGCCCAAACTACTTCAGTCCGAAGTAATATGTTATCCCCCCTTTTGCCATGAACCAAGAAAGAACACTAACAAACTCATTCCTCAGACACCCAAACCATTTGACAGAAGCATGTAAACACCATTATATCGTCCCCATACAACTGATTTACAAATAAGTATCATGGCTAGAGGACCTAATTCAAAGAAATCCAATCAAAATATCAGGCATGCTCCAAGCTTCTAAGGTCTCATTAGTGGAACACAAGTTAAACCACTCCATGCTAGGTGAACTTGAGGCAATTGATACTCATGTTGATTTAGAGCAAGCTTTTCTAGCAATTTCAGTCATGCAAACCAAAATTTGATCCAAAGATTGTAACATATATCAAAGGACATTATTGATGCAGCAGAGTAATGATGAAAGGCAAACATGTTTTCTTGTGTACCCTAAAAATCAAAATGCAGAAAGCATATTCTATTGAGCAGAGTTTTATTTCTTTTTGAATGATGGTGAATACAATTTTATTTCAATATATCTTTTTCCCATAAATTTCAAAGGTCTCATATTCAACTATACCAGAGATTATATAAATTTTGACCAATCTGAAGCCTTGAGACAAGTACCTGCATACGGCTTTTTGACACTGAATAGTCTTAGAAATATATTCCATGATTATTGCTATAACACATAACAAATAATGTATTTAAATTTGGACAAGCAATAAAGCTAAAAGGGGGCTAGTCCAATGGAACCAGCCACTTTCTAGTTTAGACCTGATTCTTTTTCTTTTTTAGAAATACAATAGCTCTCTTGGTAAATATGGACAGAATATAATGTTATTTAATAATTATCCAATTTTATTGTCACCATAGATGAAGTCAAGTTATAAAAAGAAAATAGGTAGATCGTTACAATTTATATGGGTGTGCACGCGCATGATGTATGCATGCACACATGCACGAGTGTATGTGCAATTGCGCATGTAATTTTTTATAATTGGCAGAGCTCAGATTGCAATCCACAATTCTAAGTAGAGGAAATGCATATCACAATGCTAGAGGATCGAAACCTAGTGCATGTGTTGTGTGCTTCGAGGAGTACACTCTAACCAAATGTTTGTACTGAGATGCCCTAATCCTTATTTAAAAAAAAAAAAGGAAAGAAAGAAAAAACCTCTCCGGAAAATCACAATGGGTTAGCAGTGGCAAGGGAAAAACCCAAAATTAACTGTGGTGATGAAGCTAATGCACCGAGGTGACACGCAATCAATGCTCCATCAGTACTAACATCAGCAAAAAAAATGTAATTCAATTTCAACCCAACTGACACACCAACTTCCCTCCATTTAATTTTTATTCACACCTGGTGAATTACATAAAATAAGCCAACCAAAAGCTAATTTGCACTAGAGAGCTGGCATGTAGCAAGATGTCTGACTATTTTAAACGCATCACCCTCACAATAGTTAACCATTCCAAACATATATATATATATATATATATATATATATATATACATGCACACAAGCACACACAGAGACACATATATGCACATAGTCGAGTCCACATGAACACAACTCATATGCCAGCCGTCAAGAATGAGTCAATTCTGCTGCGCAACTGGTTGGTCTAGATGGCCAAGATTGAGAAGATCCCTCTTCCCAGTCTAAATGTCTCTCTGAACAGGAGAAAGGCCGCAGCAATCCAATTTTAATAATATTCCCAACAAAAAAATCATGCCTAAGACGGAAGCAACATTCATAACAATTCACAAATACAACAACTCAAAAGCTAGGACTAAAAGAAGACCTGAGGTATCAACAATCTTCGGGGAATAAGTTCCTCGTGACTCCTCGCACAAAACTCCCATGAACAGATCTGGATAAAACATTGAGTAACTACATGACTTCAAGAATCATGATGTTTAAATAATTAGGAAAAATGTTTTTTGGGTTTCTAACCTTTAAATCTGTAGAAAAAACAATTCGAAGTTGGCCATCACGCACGACTCGTAGTTTCTCAAATACACTTTCTTGTATTGCTTTTGCATATTCTAAGACTATATGGCCTGACGCTGAGCAATATTCACGCGGCATGTCCACATAAAGAAGCTCTTCCAAGGTACCACTGTCATATTTAATTTTGCACAGCCTTGGTAGGACCTCAACCGTAGTTTCTACAAGAAGACAATGAATTAACGCTAAAGGTTAATGACCAAGATTAGTAAATTCCAAGATCTTTAATTGATAATTCAAAACATCTAAAATTTGCCACCATACTTGTGTCAGTTAAAATGCAAATCAAACCAGCACAGAAAAGTACATTCTGCAAAGTTTAAAGTCAAAATTTCAAAGGTTTTACTTACCAAAACCACGGCCAGGCTTGGTACCACATATTTCACAATGCCAAACATCCTACAAAAGTATAATCACATGTCCAATTGAGTTATATGTAAACTCAGAGTTATAAATTTACTTAGATTGGTAATTTGAAAGGTACAGTAACAAGCTATTTTGTTTCATGATTATGTTAACCACCAAAGAAAACAACTTTCACATAAGAAAGTTACATTCTCACCATCACAAGTACCAAACAACTAGTCATCTACAGTTATCACCAAGAAAAATGATACAACTATAAAGTGATGTAAGTGTTTAGCTACAAGCCTATAACACTAGAGCCATAAACCTGAGGGAAAACACCAGTTGTTTGCCGGCCACTTCCATACAAAGAAACACACCACCGCTTCTTTGCATGCGGAGCAAAATATTCATTGACAAATTTCCGCCAAAATTCAATGCTGTTATCCTGAAGAATGTGGGAAGAAAAAGCAAAGCTGCTAGAATTAGGTCCAATTAAAACAACAAAAAGTAAAGAATTGGACCCCAAAATAACTCAACATTTATGCATGTGCACATATATGGGAAACACATCACATGTGAACATATATGCATCAATAAATATATATCCATATGCAAAAACATGCATACATATACATACTTGAGGTTGGAGTCTAGTTTGGTCACCCATGTTTTCTAAAAACTCCACCCAATATATGGGAAAATAGCAGGTGGCTAAATACGAAGTGGGGTGGATAATCTAACCGCTTTCGAAAGCCAACTTTTAGGTGGCAGCAAACATTGGGTAGAAGATAACCAAACTTGGTTGGCCACACCATCCCCATCAATGTTTTCATCATTATACAAACAACATCACATGAATGTTGACACAAAAAATTAAGAAAGTCTTCTAACCTGTCTATGTTGTTGGTAATACATGTATTGCATCAAACGCCTAGCACAAGTCCCCGACTCATATACAGCAGCTTTCCCACTTGACCCAACAGGTAGAGCTTGGTTATGAAACTGCTGTTGCTGTTGCTGAAGCCTCGATCTTTGTTGGGGAAGGGCCTGCAATAGCTGTTGTTGTTGCTGCTGCTGCAATAGCCTTTGTTGCTGCAAATGAGCAGCCTGTAACTGCATTTGCTGAGATGATGGCCTAGCCATCTGTAACATCTGTTGTTGCTGATACAAAGTTTGGTCACTGTGTTGCTGTTCGAGCTTTATTGGGGCTAAGCTTCTTAGGTTCTGGAACTGTTGAGGCTCTAATTTCACAGGACCCAAGCTCCGCAAAGCTTGCAATGGCTGTTGTTGCCCGGCTTGGTCATTACCCATTTGAGGTTCAAGCTTTACTGGCCCCAAATTCCTCAAAGCCTGTAATTGCTGCCCCGTTTGGTCCCCTGATAGGCCTCTAAGGGACTGCCCAAGACTATTGGGCACATGAAATTGTTGCAGGGCTCTAGCCCCAAGCATTTGTTGGGATTGAATTTGAAGAGAGTTAGATGGGTCCTGACCTTGTGTTTGGTTCTGGTTAAGCTGAAAGTTTTGGACCTCGAGCTGTTGAGCTTGTTGCTGGTCTGGAACCAAGGTACCAGAGCCCATGATAGGTCCATTCGCATTGAGATTAGATGAACCCGAGATTGAAACATTCGAAGATGAGAGAGAAACTGGTGACGCGGCAAAACCCATATTACCCCCAGTTCCCGATAAAGGATCGGTGTCCGCAACCATGTTCACTCCGCCCCTTTGAAGGTTCCCTGAACCTGAAATTCCAGAGTTCGTACCACCAGATTGAGAGCCATTGATGAAGCCCTGGTTAACAGCAGCCATGGCTGAACTACCCCCACCACTTCCTAGGAGTGAAGAAACATTAGCCATATTGCCAAGCAAACTTGCACTGTTATACTGAGAACGAGGCGAAACAAGAGAGGGAAATGCAGATTGAGATGGAACTCCACCATTTTGAGGACCCAAAAGACCTGAATTCGTTCGCAAGAGAGTTGAAGGGGGAACTGTAGGTGCCCCATTACCAATGGGTGTTGGAGGGCCTGAAGGCACCATCTTTTCTCTTAACCCAAAAGAACGTGATGATTAGCTAAAAATATTAACCCTAGTTTCTATCTTCTGATAATCAATCAGAAACCCCACCTTTTCGAGGCCTAATTACTGAAGATACTAGTGGAGCCGTCTACTGTTCGATGATTGCACGAACCAAGCCTAGCTCTTCGTTCTACTCTCTGATAATGGAAATCAAAGAAACCGAGTTTTTATGTTATCCTATGATTAGTGAACCTATCAGGAGTTCTTGTACAAATAAAGCTCTGATAATTGAACCCAAACTAGTTTACAAGATACCCAAGCAGCAAAATTACAGCTCGTAATTCCCATTCAAATATGGGTTCCAACCAGCAATAAGTCGAGGATCACAGATCTAAGCACCAAAGAAAACATGGGTTTCATTTCAATACCAGAATTGAACAGAGAAAGCAGTTTAAAAGCCAAGATCCAATGCACTCTAAACCTTGATCATAAGACATGGATTCGAGCACCGAACAAGTTCCAAATTAGAATTCTTTATGCGTTCTTGCAGGGTTGTCAATAGAGGCAAGCCCTTTGGAGAAGAAGCAAACCACGAAGGAGTGTCCAAAATCAATGCAGAGAGAAGCGCATGTAAAAGTACCTCTAGAAAGCACGGTTCTAAGAAGAACATCCTAGAGAGAGAAAATGGGTTTCTCTCAAACTCCTGATTAATCGCAGTCGCGGGGCCTGCCTAGCCAAGAAACCATGAAAAACCCTGCAACACATGGAGTACACGGCGAGTCCAATCAAAAAAAGATCGCTACTGGAACTACCAGTATATTAAAGAGAGAAAATCCATAGCGGACTGCATCAAGCTCCAAAACCCACTTGCCCAATTCCATTAACGGCTCCTTAAAAGCAAAGACAAGACACCAAGATAACCAAAAAAGGAGAAAATAACCATGAAAACAGACAGAGAGAGATATGGAGAGTTAGAGAGAGAAAGAGAGAGCTCACCTAGTGAGAGAAACTTGGTGCTAAGAAAGATCCCTGCTTTTCCTACTGCTCTCTCTGTACTCTTTTCTCCATGTTTCTCTCTCTATTTTCTATTTTTATACAAATCTTTATCTCGATTTTTCATTCTCTCTCCTCTTTCTCTCTCTTCTTTCTTCTTCTCTCCCAAAGCGCCATAGCGGACGTCAAAATTCTATTCGATGCGGTTCATAGGTTTATTATTCGCCCTTTTTCCCACTTTATTTGTAATTATTTTTGTTAACTTTTCTCTCTCTTATCTCTTCTCTCTTTCTCTCTCTAAAAAGAAAACAAGTCAATATTCATCTTCGCAAAGCCCAATTGCCGAGTCATCTCCCCGACATGTCACACGGCGTCAAAACTAAAAATCAGCGTTTGACGCCCCCAATCCCCTTTTCATTTCATAGCACGTATATTATGATCCCTCAGGATCATAATTTACTTGTACTCCCTCAGCCATAAGACCTATTTGGGAGGAGATTTTTTTTTAATATGAAATTTTTAGAAATACTTAAGAATTAGTAGATGACTATCCTCGAAATAAGTAAATAAAATCAAAACTTGAGTTTAGTAACACTGAAGATCTCATATCAGCATCTGAAAATTAGATGGCCTCTGTTCGTTCTCGAAATTTCTTTTTTTCAAATGCAGAGGGTAAAATTATAAATTTTTTATTGGAATTAATCTACGAATTAAAAAGGTTACATCATCTAAATTTAGGGTCTAGGTGGTGTTTTATCTGAAGGAGTAAACGAACAATATACTCCTGCAGGAGTACATATCTTTTGGCGTATTATCATTCTCTATTTAATTCTTTATTCTTTGAAGTAATATTTAAATAATTAATTAAATTTTTAAATATTTGAATTGCATATTTTAGTAATTCCACCCAGAAATATAAGTGAAAATTATAGGAGAGCGCTTTCTATTATTACCACCCACATTTGGGTGGGCCTAGAGAATACCTGGTGCCGACCCCCATTTATTTATGAGTATTTTTGTTTTTGGAAGGTTTTAATAAGGCATTGTTTTTTGGATGGCACGTGCGAGTTGGTGAAAGCGATTTTCCTCGAAATTCTTACTCTTTGGTTTTTGCACGTGCCGTTGCATTTTGCTGTGGAATGGACGGCCTGGAGGGAATGGCATGTGCCAAAAGAAGATCGTGGCCGTCTATGAGATTCATTGAGAAATAGTTTCCCTTCAAGATATCGTTGTGATAATGGCGCACGAAGTAAAGTTGGCCTTGGACCTCAAATTTTGCTTGTTAAATGACCAGGGTTGCCCTCCATAAACTTGATCATTTCTTTTGGGTAGTGGAGTCCATGTGAGCAGTAAAATCTCTTTATCTATGGCTATACTGGGTGTAAATGGGTGGGGTCTGGTTTGAGTGGACCTGACCCAACTAGGTTTTAGTTCGAACCAGACTTGATCTAGGTATAAGTCGTTGGACCCAAATATGACCCATTAAGTCTGGATGGGTGCGGTTTGTACAAAGCTGAGTTGGAATCAAACCTAATCTAGGTATAAGTCGTTGGACCCAAATACGAGCCATTAAATCTGGATGGGTGCGGTTTGTATAGAGCTGAGGCTCTAAACAATCAATGTAGATCCCACCTTCAAATAGTGTCAAGAAATGTGGTTTCAATGTTAGAAATTTTTATGATAGCCTTAAAATATATTTTCATCTCTAATTATAAAATTTGAAGCTTCAAAAATAATATAGATCGAGCATATCTATGAAAACTTGAAAATCTTGAAAATTGACGGTCAAAAAATGCATTACAAGATACATTATTTCAAAAACTTGAATTCCATTTTTCTTCTCATGTACATGCATCTCAATGTCGAGATGATCAATTTGAGGATATTTGGATATCTCAACGACCGCTTCTAGTGAACTTTTTGAGGTGTGCATAAATTTGATTGTTTAGAGCGTTGGCTCTATATAAACGTTTTTCAATCTTGATATAGATAAAAATGATGTCTATTTATATTTTCATAATATAAACATTTGTTGGGGTTATTTATATATTACTTGCATGATACTAGTCCAAAGCATATATTACATATATAATATCTGGTCCGACCAGCCTAGGTTGGCCTCATCCCTACCCCACTCGAGAAGGCCCATGATGGCCCCATTCTCGAACCCTACCTGGATAGGATCCAGATCCACCTGAACCCAACCCGCCATATCCTATATGTAGGGCACCAGACCCGATTAGGGTCGACCCTACTCAATTGCCACCTCTAGCTATATCATATGGTATTATATGCTATAAATCAATCTACTTTAGGGCCAGTTTGGATGTACCCAAAATTGGAATATTTTTAAATCACAAGAAAAAAAGATTGAGATAGCAATAAGAACCGTTTGGATAACCCCATTGGATTTTATTCCCCATCAAAATAAATTATCACGTCCGACTCAAATTTTTTTCACTTCCCTCATCGTGCTTTTTCCCAACATTCCCGCTCTCAATCGTACTTTCCCAAAACCTTCTCGCTCTCAGTCGCACCTATAAAAGCCTCTCTCCCACTCTCAAGCAGGCTCAAAAAATTTTCAGAGGCAGATGTTTTACAACCTCAAAACATTAGCAGAGGAAGTATGTAAAAGACGTCTCAAAGGAAGGTTTGTAAAGGAGGTCTCTCTTTTGTCCATCCAAGGTACTCTCTACTCTCTCTCATAATAATATTGAACTTTTCAATCCTTCATCTTGTTTCATAGATGCTAACTCAGACAGAAATAATTCCCTTTGAAAATCCAAATTAGGGTTTTTAAATCCAAAAGGGAATAAATTGAGTATAACATATTTCCTTCAAAATAATTCCCTATGAAAACCCAAATTAGGGTCTTTTCTCTTTCTCTCTCATCAAATCTTGATCTTAAATGGAAGCTCTCTCTATCTCTCCCATCAACCGTGCCTCTCTTCGTTCCCAATATATCTCTTTCAGTAGAAACGAGAAACTGCAAGTTTGCAACTCTCGCTTACATATTTGGCTGCTATAGACTCCTCCACCTATGAAGTTGTTATGTATCTTGTAAAGTATGAAATTAGATGGTTCGAATCCTTGTTATGGATGGCAATTTTTTATGAAATATTACTTCGCACTCATCATTGTCTGTGTTAAATGTATGCTGATACACAGCATTTCGGAATTGAGCTTGGACTTGATTGGTTTAATTGTTGACAGTTCCAATACTATGTTCCATGTTATTCTATCATTGTGTGTAACTTGGACGTCGCATTTTGAAAATACGTTGTAGCAATGTTAAACACTATGTTTAACCTAGACGTCTCATTTTGAAAACACTATGTTCATCTGAAAATACGAAACATTGTGTGTAAGGGGAAAAGGATCTGTCGTATCGATGTTTTTGAGAGGGTAAAGGGAAAAGGAAAGAAAAAAAGGGCATAAGCCTTGGTTCTTCTAACTAATACCTTAAAAAAACCTATTGAATTACTTACAAGGGAAAACTTTATATAAGGTTGCAACCTTAAAATGTAGAATCACATATGCACGTCAAGAATCACATAGAACTTTCTCTGATTATCACACAAAAAGTCAGTATTTTATTTAATTTTTTGTATTTTATTGTTTTATACTTATATTGATGAAGTAGCCAATATAACTTTATATAATGTACTTTGATTTTCACTTGTGTTATAGTTTTATATTGATTTTTATGTATCATTTTTTTTGCTAGTATTGTTTTGATATTGTTTATTCTGGTTTAAGTCTGATGTTGATTATGCCTAAACCCTGCTGATTTTCTTTTTTCTTTTTTTCTTTTTTCGTTTTCTGGGTTTCTTACTCTTCATGTTAATATCTTTTTAAATGGTACTTCATGTATCTTAATCTAAATGCCCAAACTCATACAATACTTTCAAACCCCTTAAATCTTGTGATTTTCCAATCCTAGGATTTTATGTTGACCTAATATTTGTTTGATGGAGCTAGTCGTCTTCTATTGTATGAGATGTCATTGATGAAGTGTTCTTGACATAGGTTATTGAGCTAAACATTTATGAATTCCCTGCATGAGTTATAAGCAAGTTATTTTTCATTAATGTTTATGTACAGATTTCTCCATAAACGTGGGACAGCTTTGAGTTCGTTCTATTGACTATTTGCTTTGGTATTTGTTCCATTTTAAAATTGTTTATGTTTGAGCTATGATATATGTGAACTTCTATAGCATCCATTTTACATAAAATCAAGATTGTGTGATAATTTGACAAGTGTTAGAGGGTACCATTCAGCCTAGAGATGTCAGAATATACCCCTACTCTCAAGATCCAACCAAGACAAATTGGAGTGCAACTTACGATGAATTCATGGTTGAACAATTGAAAAAATTACATTTTGCTAGGAAGCGGTCTGATATTGGATGGACAAAAGAGGATTGGAGGTCTGTCTTGGATGCATTTAATAATAATTTTGATGTTGAAAATACCGTACAACAATTGAAAACTCACTGGGCTACACTTAAGAAGCAATATTTTATTGCGAATGACCTTATTAACCAAAGTGGTTTTGGTTGGGATGACAATGCCTATGTTGTAACTGCTCCGAATGGGGTGTGGGATCGATTTCTTCAAGTAGGTTTTTAGTGTTGATTATTCAATTCTTTATTTTCTTTGGTTGTTGTATGAATTTAGCTATGCAAGATGTTTGGAAAACTCACATATTTAAGCAAACAGGCCCATCTTGAAGAAAAACCATTTAGAAATGCGAGCTTTCCCCTTTATGATCAACTTACCGTACTAGTAGAAGGTAAGTTTTTCCATTCTATTAATAGTATTTATTTAACTTTATTATATTGCACTACAATTCTAATGCACTACAATTCTCATTAGAATATGACATTTTATGCCTCTAGGTAAACATGCCACAGGGATATCGACTGTTCGTCAAGAGCCATTAGAAGATGACATAAGTGAACATGAAATTGAGCAAAGTTCACAATCAAACCCACATTATATTGCAAATGAGAATGATTTGAGCTCTTCAGATGATATGCCTATAGACACCCCTGAAAAGAACAAACGTCAGCTGTTGTGAAATTAATTCCACATCGTAGTAAGAAAGTGAGGTTTAGTCCTGCAAGTAGGTTAGCAGCAGCTGTTGAAAATTTAGTCAGGGCAGACATGTCAACCTCACAAATATTGCAAAAGCCCACAGAAAATTAGGAGTTTTCATATCAAAAGTGCTTGATAGGCTTAAATCAAAGTGAGCGTGTGCAAGCAATAGATTTACTTGTTAATGAAAAGGTGGCCATTACATTTATGACTCTCGAAGGAGAACTTCATTTGGATTGGCTGCGTTCTAAATGTCACAGAGTAGAGTAGACACCCATTTTGTGTTTTTAGTTTTTTTTTTTTGTGGGGCGCTCTTAATTAGTGACTTGAAGAGCTTCCTAATCTTCGTATAACTTTTGGACCTAAATTTTTTGAGCAATATCTGTGAAATGTTTGTTGATTTTTAAGGCATGTGTGAAATATTTGCTGATTTTACGTATCCTTTTTCCCATTGATTTGTGATCTTAGAGAAAATGGCTTAATGTGCAAACTCATATGCACCTCTAATACTATCTTCTTGGTCAGATTCTAATGCACATTGACGTAATTTTGTAGTAGATGTTTGTTTGAGTTAGATATATTTCTTAAATAATGCATTTGTTCACATAATTTTTTTTCAATTTCGTTAGGACATCTTTCATTTATTTCATACAGTGAAGGCAAGCATATCAACAAAGAAACATGATTGAGATGGAATTAGCCAAACGGCATGAGAAGCAACGACGTAAGCAACGGTTAATTCTTGCACTTGCTCTTTGCAGTTATAATGATATTTATGTAAACAAGATTCCTCTTCGGAATTCATCTTTATCTGGCTATGCATACATGGAAAAAATACTTTTGGGTCATAGGGAACGATGCCTTCAAGTTTGTCGTATGGAGTTAAACGTATTTCAAAACTTTTGTGAGATTTTTCGAAGTAGACATCTTCTAAATGATACTCGAGGTGTAAAGGTTGAAGAGCAGTTGTCAATGTTCTTATATATCCTGGGGAAGAGCTCAAGCAATCGTACAGTCCAAGACCGTTCCAACACTCAAGTGAAACTAGTTGTCATTTTGAGAGAGTTTTCAATGCAATACATAACTTATCATTCGGTTATGTTCATCTACCTTCAAGTAGCACACATCCAGAAATTCGCAAAAAAAGCATATATTATCCTTTTTTCAAGGTACTTATTTTAAATTTATGTATCTTTTGATAATTTTGGGAAATTGATGATTAGTTTTAATTGAAGTTTTATTTCTTTACTTTTTGAAGAATTGCATTGGGGCAATAGATAGTACCCATATTCATGTGAGTATTGGTATTGAAGAGCAAGCTCCATATTGGAACAGGAAAGGCTTTTTATCACAAAATGTAATGGTAGCTTGTTCTTTTGACCTTCGCTTTGTATATGTACTTGTTGAGTGGGACGAATCATCATCGGATTCTTCTGTGTTAAAAGCTGCACTAAAATCTAGTTTCAAGGTTACCAAAGGTCACCGTTATTTTCCTTCCTTAAAAATTTTATATTTGGTGGAATATTTAAACGTCATTTCAAGCTTGCTAATAAATGTCATAGTCCTTATCTACTTCCTACAAATTTTTTGTTATTTTTAGAATATATATATATAACTTTTGTCATTTATATGCATTCAAATAAATATTATCTCGTTGATGCGGGTTATGCGAACACACAAAACTTCATAGCTCCATTTAGGGGTGTGAGGTATCATTTGAAGGCTTATGGTCAGGGAAATTTAACCCCACAAAATGTAAAGGAGCTCTTCAATCTTCGGCATTCATCTCTTCGGAACGTTATTGAATGTGCATTTGGTGTGTTGAAGAAAAGATTCCCTATTTTGAAAGTGGCAACAACATATCCTTATGAAACACAAGTTAAGATTGTCGCTGCTGCTTGGACTTTACATAATCATATCCGAACTATAACAGGTGGTGATGATTGGCTCTATGAGGAGTATGACAGGGATTTTACACGTGGATCAGTTGAAGGAACAGATATTCAACATAATGATGTAAACCCTCAAGCTAATAAAAATGATGGCGATCAACTGCAAGATCATATTGCTAAAGCACTTTGGGATGACTATTGTACTCACCATTGAGCATAATATGGCACATAGATATAATTGGTTGTAATCATGTTTTCTACTACTCTCTTTTCTACTTTAGATTTTAATATTAATTGCTTGGGTTATCGTTCATGGGTTATGGAGATGGTGTGAAACTCTCATTTTTAAAAATATATAATTGTTCATTCTCCTCTCTATGCCCATGGAAAAATTCGAATTTTTCCAAATTATAAGTTTATCAAACGCATGAAAGAACAAAGTTAAAAATCAATGTTGGTCAAACATTTTTATGTAATTAGAAAAAAAAAAAATACGAATTTAGAATTTATTGCAACGCATCCAAACAGACATATTTGGCAAATAAAATTTTCTTATCATATTTCAATAGATGTCCAAACAGTCTACCAACGTAATAAAATAAAACGATAATGCTTCTCAATTGAGGGGAAAAAAATTGCATTCTTTTTCAATCTGAATATTTTTCCTTTGACATCCAAACTGGGCCTTAGCTATAAAGTCACAACTATCTCTAGCAATTAAATAAAATCTCCACAATACTTGAAGTATCAAATCATAGTTATGTTGGGAAAAAAGAGAATAACAAAAAACAAACCAGGGCATAAAGTGACAAAATGCGAATTATTTTTTATTCCAAAACAAAATGTACACATTAATTTCTTTAATTTTATTCTCAAGACAAGAAGGGATAAAATTCAAAATGAATACATTCGGAAGAATTTAGGTGTAGTACTACTTGGCAATAAAACGAGATAAAGTAAACTTAAGTGAACTGGTTATGTGCTATGCAAATACAACACCTATTAGAAGATACGAGTTAGTTGAAGTGGTAAACCCAAAAGGACCTAGTTAGAAGCAGTAAGAAAATATATGATGACTTACAACCTCATTAAGGGTATGACACTTAATAAAGTAAAAAGATGGGTCAAGATTCATATAGCCGAACCCAATTAGTTGGAAAAACACTCTGAGGATGATGATGACAAGAAAAGCACTCCTGAAGTCTTTCGAAATGACTCTCTCTAATCGGGTGTCAATTTCTATGTCAGTGGCTGCTTGATAGTACAACCCTATAATTGTCGAAGAGATTATGAGAGGGTATAAAACTCACTTCAATGGCAAAAAGTGAATTGCACAAATCATTATACTGTTGAAAAAACTTGAAGAAAGAGATGGACCCACTCTTAGGATTAAGGCAGTGTCTTTAGACTATCGATCGCAAAGATCAAGCTTTTAACAGAACTGTGAGAACTCTATAAATTTATGTGTACCTCTCTATGGCCATGAAACCATTATTAAAGATGGATGGAGGAGGCCATTCTTCAACGTTCGGCTTCCTCCTGAAATCTCTGAGAAAACGTGGCTCTGTAATCCTGGGAAGTGGGTGGTTCCTTTCTAGCCATTAAATAACGACACTCTCTCTCTAAGAAGCCTCCATTTTTTAGTGATAAGCATTAAATTATAAGAAAGATAAATATTGCACGTTTAAAAGCCCCATGGCCACACATACGTACCAACATCTCCTACTTGGCCATGAGGGCCAAATATATTGAAATATCATAAAGTTTTTACCACTTAATGAATTTAATATTTATGTGCATATTTTTGTCATGAGGCTTTCACGCAAGTGCGGTTATACATCTCATAACAAAAAATATCCAAAGTCATGTCATGGTTTTTCACGCTAATGCGGTTTTTTCTCTCATGGCTAAGACATCAAAAAATATCCCATTTGGGAGTTCCTGATTTAAATATTTTTAAGTCCTATCAAAACTACATGCTTTGATAATATTTATGTACTCAATCCTTTTGTTAAAGGGTTAGCAATCATATCTGAAGATAGCAAATAATTTACAGTTATTTCATTCTTTCCAATAATATCATAAATATAATGATAATCAATTTCAATGTGCTTACCCTTAGAACTATAAGCTTCATTTCTAATTGATGAAATAACAGCCAGATTATCACAAAAGCTTTTAACAGGTCTGTCGGCTATATCCAGCTTCAAATCATTTATGAAGCGTTTAATCCAGACGGCATAAGTTGTAGCAATGCTACAACCAATATACTCGGCTTCCATTGTATACCGAGCTACACAACCTTGTTTCTTATTAGACCAAGAAACACATCCACCACTAAAGAGGAATACAATTCCTGATGTTGATTTTCTATCATCTGAGTCTCCTGCAAAATCTGCATCAGAGTACCCAGTAACCTTTAAGTTGTCAGCTTGGAAACACAACTTGTAATTTTTATTTTTCTGAATATATCTGAGTATCCTTTTTACAGCTTGCCAATGAGTCAACCCATGATTACTCTAAAATCTACTTATAAGACCATATGTAATACTCAAATCAGGTATTGTACACAACATGACATAATTTATGCATCCTACAGCTTGAGCATATGGAATTCTTTCCATGTCAGCTTTGTCACTATCATTTAATGGACACATTTTCTTTGATAATTTTAAGCTTTTACAAACAGGTGTATCTATGGGCTTGCAATTTTCTATCTTAAATCTCTTTAAAATAATTTTTAAATAATTTTCTTAAGATAAACATAGAAGTCTTGAACTTCTATCTCTTGTTATCGTAATGCTTAATACATATGAGGCTTATCTCATATCTTTCATCTCAAAATGGGAACTTAGCTATAAATTGGTATGGTTAATCATGTCAATATCATTATCGGCATCAAAATATCATCCACATATAGTGACAATATAACAAAATTGCTCCCACTGTTTCAAACATATACACAATGGTCTACCTATTGGCTATATAACCAATTTCAGTGATTGCATTATGAAAAGTAAAACCAGTACCTAGAAGATTGTTTTAGACCATATAGAGATTTCTTAAGTTTATATACTTTGTCTTCTTGGCCTTTTAATTACATATCATTTTGGTTGTTTCATGTATATATCTTTTTTTAATTCTCCATTTAATGAAGTTGTTTTGACATCCATCTGAAATAATTCTAGATCATAGTATGCAACTAATGCAAAGATGATCCTAATGGATGAAAATTTTGCTACTAGAGAATAAGTTTTTACATAATCTATGCCCTCCCTTTGGATAAATTCTTTAGCTACCAACCTAGTTTTATATTTATCAGTGAATCCATTTGCATTAAGCTTTTTCTTTAGGACTCATTTGCAATCGATGACTTTTCTATCTTTAGGGAGGTCAACCAACTCTCAGACTTGATTTATTTTAATAAAATCAAGTTCATAATCCATGGCTTGAGTCCACTCAGCTGAGTCATATGAGCTAATAGCATCACTATAGCTACGAGGTTCATCTATTGTATCATCACTCATTGAAAAGTAATTATCTTCATTCATAAATACATAAAATTCTTCTAAAGTCATAGGTGCTAGTTCTTTTAGGCCTATCTGGTATACTTGATTCAATTGAATCATTCTCACCAAATGTAGAGGGAGTCTGAGAAACAGGGTCTTTCAGACCCTTATCTTTATCAATTCATGTAAGTAAATATGCTTATTTAAAATATTTTCATCAACTATATTTTCTAAGAAATGAGCATCACGACTCTCTACTAATGATCTAGTATGATAGTTATAGAATCTATACCCTTTATAATTTTTTGAATAGCCTATAAAAGAGTATTTTATAGTTTTACTTTGTAATTTATCTCTATTTTGTGGTGGTATAAGCACATGTGCCCAAGAACCCCAAACTTTCAATATAGTAAGGTTAGGTTTCCAACCTGTCCATAATTCATATGGGGTCAAGTCTATAGATTTAGTTGGAACACGATTAATGATATATATTACAGTGTTGAGAGCCTTACCCTAAAAATGAGGTGATAAATTTGAATGGCTCATCATGAACCTAACCATGTCCATTAGAGTTATATTTCTCCTTTCAGCTATACCATTTTATTGTGGTGTATATGACATAGTTGTTTGGTGAATTATACCATGCTCCTTACAAAATTCAGAAAATAAGGCGGAGCAATATTCACCTCCCATATCTGTTCGAAGAATTTTAATATGTCTACCTAACTGATTTTCTACCTCAGCTTTATATTCTTTAAATGTTGCTGATGCATATGATTTCTTACAAATTAGGTATACATATCTATAACATGAGTAATCGTCTATAAATGTTATAAAATATTCTATACCTCTATGTGTTTTCACATTTAATGGGCTACATATATCAGAATAAACAATACTAAGTAGTTCACTAGACCTTTTCCCTTTAGGGAAATGCTTCTTAGTTAATTTATCAAAAATACATGGCCGACATGTTTTGAACACAATTTCTCCTAAATTGGGAAGCAAGCCTCTTTTAACCATTTGATTCATTTTGTCTTTATTTATATGTCTTAATCTTAAGTGCCATAAATATGGATCATCTATACACATTAAAGCATCAAAAGAACCAGAAAATGATGAACTTTTATTAATATTTAGTCGGTACAAATTGTCAACTTTAGTACCGTATACCAAAGCTCTAGAATGCTTCCCAATGGTAACCCGACCAGACCTGAACCTAATTTCATAACCCTTGTCTTTTAGCCTTGGGACAGAAATCAAATTGCGCATCATATTGGGCGCATATAATGTATCAGTTAATAAGAGATTTATTCATCCTGGTAAACCCAGCTTGAAAGTACCAATACATAGTACATTGCAGTAGGTGTCATTCCCCCAATAAATCTGCTGGTTACCGACGCAATCTCTTTCTATTATGTGAATTCCATCATTGGTCCTCGAGACATGTCGAGTGGAGGTTGAGTCGACTCACTAATTTTTTAGATTATGATCGGCAACTATTGATTTTAGGACTACGCAGATCAAGTCCTTTTTCTTATTTTGATTATTTCGAACAAGGTTGTTATTTTGGTTCCTATTTTTATTTTTCAGCTTAGGACAATTAAACTTAATATACCCAATTTCCGTAGAACAAAAACAGGTCTTCTTAACCTTATTTTTTTATTTTTAAAATTTCTCCTCATTCTCTTATACCTAGTCTTTT